TATGATAACAAATATACAAAAAGGCAGTCAATATATTAAACATTTAAATCAACAGCATACATTTCTCAGAGGTAAACATTGAGCAAACAAAGCCACCAATGATGTTCAGAAGGCAGGTCGAAGTTTTAAGGTCAAGCTCCAAATACTGTTGCTTTCCTAAAGCCGTAGTGGTATTACACTTTTATCTAGTCCCTACATTGAAGACTACATAGCATGGACATTTGAAGTTATTATAACATTTGCTATCCAACAGGAAATTAGAAGTTTCTTCGGTCCTCATTGTACCTCACTGTATGTATATTAAAGCACCTGCAGAGACAGAGGGCAGTAGGAATTAAGCACTTTGCTTTCTAGGTTGGGGTTTTACTTCTGTTAAAGGTGAGGGCAACAGCATCCTTCTATCGACACAAACTCCAGCACTGACAAAAGAGAAGTACTGGCCTAACAGACAGACTTGATGAATAATCAGCCTTGCAACAGGCATGAAACAGCATGGGATTGCATACTTGCCTATTGGCAGTAAGTCTGTGCTGTTTCTACTGCACAGAAAAGTCTCCTTCGGTAGTTGACCTAATGCCTGAGTTTGAAAGCTTGGGATGCGTACATACGCTCAAAAATAATGTGACAAATTTACTATCAATAAAAACATGTTTTAATGCCAACAACTAATAAAAGTTCATATTGCAGTACTGCTCACAACATAAATGTACAATTTGCACAAAACATTGCTCTTCAACATGAATATTTTGCAAGCTACAATATATATATATAATATGTATAACCTTTTCTTAAAGAATTATATGCCGGAGTGCATGCAAAGAATTTCAAAGCAGTAACACAACAGGAGCAATCACTTGTTTACAGGTTACTGAAACCATTCAATACAGAAACACCGGGATATTAGATAGACAGACAGACAGATAGGTAGATGTATGTACACACTGCTTTCTCGTGGACCTTCCTTTCCATGTTACACGAGCAGTGTGGGTTCCGTATAAGCCCAGGTCCCTACAAAAGACTGATTCAAACAGGGCTCTGAATGTTCTCCACACCATCTGGAACCATAAATCGCTTCTGCTGGAGATGATGGCGAACGAAGCACTTGTCCTTTAGCCAGGAGTGGAGGCAAGCAATCTTCTCCATAGCCAACGCCTGTTCCAATCCTACTCCTACGTTCACAAGCAGTGAGTGGTGAGCATCTATCCATCCTGTGTTTTGGCTGGTTCCAAGTAGTCTCCTGCAGCCTTGACAGTTGGAAACCCAAGAAGGGAGAACTTGGATCTCCTAAACAGCAATGCACAGCACTGCCCCTGTTCTAGTCAGGTATGTACAAGGAATGATACGTCTCCTCTGGTTAAAAATTTACATGGAGTATATACAAATAAAGCTATTCTATCAAGGTGCAATTTTATTATTCTCTGGTGTATTCCAGTGAAGATTTCTTACAAACCTTTATACAAACTCATCAGAGGAGTTTACACAAAGTTGATATTTTGTCATAGCTCACTATTTTTGTTCTACAAGCTTTGGAATGGAAATTCCCATTACTTTCCCTTGGAGTTCTCTCTATGCACGAGACCGGATTTGGTAGACTACAGTCACATCTCATATATATATTTTTTGTCTTCAATACACTTCAGACGGGATGAATTGGCAACATGTGTTGTTGTTGTTTTTTTCTCCAGGAAGTCATCAATCTCTATGAAATGAAGCAGGATGGAAATGAAGCAACTGGACATCACAGGGGCTGCAGATCATGTGCCCAGTTCAGCTCTCCTTGCTTTGGATGGGACTATTTGTGGCATGTGAAGCTACCCAGTTTGGCCCTAAGGGTACATCTTTATGTCCTTGGCACTATTTTACACCAAGCCAATGGCAGGCAATGCCCTCAAAGAAACATTAAAATAAAAAATAAAAAAATCAAATGTAATTTACCGAATGCAAAACAGTAAACATCAGACTGATCCGCTAAGCAGATGGATATGGAATGCAAATTGTCTAAAATTAGAATGGTTGATGTTTTCTCAGGCAGGTCTAAATCTGTAAAAATCTTTCCCACCCCTCAAAGGCCTCATTCTGCACCACGTAAATATAAGATGCTTCTAATGAAGCCATTGGAAATGCAAAGATTGTGATCAGTGAGCACAAGGAAAGCCTACCCTCTCCCATTTCTGTTCAGCAGAAACCTCAAAATTGTGCAGCTAACGAATGTAACTTAAATACATGTCTGTGATCCCTGCTGAAGTAGGGCTGTTCTGTGGCAGCAGGATTTGGCCATCAGCCTTTCTGGTGTACCAACCACAACTGTGTGGATAACTGGGTGGGAAATTCTATCCACCAGTGCATTAAAAAGCCTTGCAACCTTGCTGTATTCCCACTGACTTCATGAGAGTTTACCAAGTGTGTTCAGCACCACTGGAAGTAAGCTTTTCAAAGATCTTTTCCTAACACCATTTTCCCCCATTTTGTAGCTCGATTTTAACAAGGCATTCAAAGCAGAGGTTTTGCACATGTACTCTGAAGCTACAGGGAGCATTTTACACTAGAAGCAAAGATCTGATTAGTTTTTCTCTTTTTTTCAAAGTAATACAATAATGAAAAAGAGCTTGCTACTTTCATCTGCCTTCCTGCATTTGTACAGCATTAACAAAATGACATTCAGCAATGACAAATGAATCTTAATCTCATTGGAGATTTTAAAAGGATTAGCATCAGACCAAATGGGGTTTAAAAGAACATGAGGTGGACAAAGACACTCCTTCGGAGTTTTTCCAACATTTATGCTGAAGACCATATTACGTGATAGAACATGTAAAGCTTTCTGATCCAGCTGACTGAAGGCATTATATTCAAGGGAAAAACATGTTCGTATTGGAATAAAAATTTAAAAAAAAAAAAAAAAAATCAAGAGAAATATAATAATAAAAACAATTTAAACAAACGTTAAAGTCATGGACATGGTGGACAAATCTACCATTTCAAGATATGGCTGAGCTCCTCTGTTTCTATACGTTTCCTCCTGTCTTGTTTCCAAGTGCCCTGTGGTTTCAGTGGAACAGTTTGCTCAGGAGCATTCGTAGTGCCAAGCAGGGGATTTTCAGAATCATCCAGCAGACTTCAGAGACTGACATCTTTGAATGAGCTACAGATGTCTGTCTGTCTTTTTGCGGCGAAATGTTTGGTTCCAGGAACATTTTTCTTAGCTAAACTCTTGGTCTACTGACAAACATCTGCCATCTGACTTCTATTCTCTGACTCTGTGGTGTTTTGGAAGTTCAACATTCCGAGAAGGATACGAAAAAGGGAGGAAAGTTTCACCTGTGCCGTTAGTTGTAGATGACCTCAGGCACGTCTGTGAAGCTATAAGCCAGTGTTTAAGCTGCATTTGTGGGCTGGAGGACAATAGCTTTTTGTTGGCAAAAGTTGAGTTATGTGATCTTTCATTTGTTTCTCAATAAAAAGTGAAGAGAAACCTTCCATAAAACCCCAGCAATGGATGACAGCAAACAAAACTACTCTGCTAAGATTAAAAAGAAAAAAAGCCACCACAAAACCCAACAACACTCATAACAATCGTAACAAATGCAAAACAATCATAACTGTTCCTGGTTCTTATATTACACAAATTAAGAGTCTTCCCAACAGCTGTATATAAAAAAACAATAAATAAATCAAGATTCACTTGATGGTTCTGCACCATTCCAGAAACCGTCTTATTTCTAGCACATCCGTTCCTCTGGCTTTCATCTTTCTCTTCTATCTTTAACATCAAAGACATCTCAGAGACAAGTGGGAGTGGATGTGCAGAGGGATGAAGGAAGCAAAGAGTTGTCACAGGGATGGTGCTATTCAGGACTCTTGCACTGGGATTTTCCCACTCAGCTGTTGTTTTCAGTGGTGAACATAAAGACACAAAACCAGTCCTTCAGAATTGGATGACAGAGCAAGGACCTCTTCCTCTTTTAAGGATCTAATTGCAGATATGTATTTGGCCTGGGAAGCATGAGATGCAAGAAGACTTCAAAGCTGACACGGTATGAAAGAGAGATAGAAAACAGACCTAATCCATAGACTAGAAAAAAATCAATGAAAAGGCTTCTAGCAATTTTAATGGGGCAAATTTATCAGACTTTAATGTTTGGTTTGTGAATGAGGTTATAGTAGAATCTTAACTTGTATTTTCCCTAGGACATTCATATATCCTTCATTTAACATGTAAATTATTTTCTGAACCTTGTATCAAATATTTATAAATGCTAAACAAGGTAAAATGTGAAACCCTTTTGGGAAAGTGGAGTGGAGGGAGGTTTAGTTGCACTAATGGATATTGCATTAATGCTTAGCATCAAGCCTGACTGCCATTAACAAGAAATCTCATTACAAACATGATTTCACGCCTCATAACATATCCTGTGAATCTATCTACTGTCCATCTCTCTCTCTTGAACGTACAAACACATGAAGATAACTATGGATGAAAAGTCTGAAATATATTTCATATCCTTAACCTTTTTTTCCCCACATAGTAATAACCAAATTAAAATCCAAGCAGCAAAAAATTCACAGCTTGAACAATATAGAACAAATTCCTTTGCAGTGCCACAGGAAGTAAGATAGATGAGTGAACAGTGGGCTGGATTGAGAACTGGCTGACTGGCAGAGCTCAGAAGGTTATTATCAGTGGTGCACTCTAGCTGGAGGCCTGTAGCTAGCAGTGCTCCCCTATGGTTGATACGGAGTCCATTCTTGTTCAACATCTTCATCAGTGACTTTGATGAAGAGATACAGTGCACCTTCAGCAAGTTTGAACAAAGCTGGGAGGACTGGCTGACACACCAGAAGGCTGTGCTACCATTCAGCAAGAGCTGGGCAGAGAGGAACCTGATGAGGTTCAACAAGAGCAAGCGTAGAGTCCTACACCTGGAGATGAATAACCACATGCACTGGTACAGGTGAGGGGCTGACCTGCTGGAAAGGAGCTCTGTGGAAGACCTGGGTGTCGTGGTGGACAACAGGTTGGTCATGAGTCAGCAGTGTGCCCTTGTGGCCCAGAAGGCCAATGGCATCCTGGGGTGTATTGCAAAGAGCGTGGCCAACCCCCCCTGCTCTGCCCTGCTGAGGCCACATCTGGAGTGCTGTGTCCAGGTCTGGCTCCCTGGTTCACAAAAGAGATCTTCTAGAGAGCCCAGCAAAGGGCCACAGAGATGATGAGGGGCTTGGAGCACCATTATGAGGAAAGGCTAAGAGCTGTGGGACTGTTCAGCTTGGAGAGGAGAAAGCTGAGAGGGGATATTATCAATGTTTATAGATATCTAATGGATGGGAGTCAAGTGGATGGGGCCAGGCTCTTTTCAGCAGTGCCCAGTGATAGAACAAGGGGAAATGGGCACAAACTGGAACATAGGAAATTCCATACAAGCATGAGGAAGAACCTTCTTCACATTGAGGGTGACAGAGCACTGGAACAGGCTGCCCAGAGAGGTTGTGGAGTCTCCTTCTCTGGAGATATTCAAAACCCACCTAGATGTTTTCTTGTGTAATCTACTGTCTGTAAAGAAACAGCTTTAGCAAAGGGTTGGATTAGATGATCTTCAGAAGTCCCTTCCAACCCCTATGATTCTGTCATTCTGCATGATTCAATGGATAACCGTGAATTCACATCTCAAAGAAGACTGAGCACTTTACCATGTTGCCAACAGGCATATCAGTCTCTGGTGCAATAACCAAAAGCCAAAGATAATTTCTGAAGCTATAAAACCGACTGCCCCAAACTTATTTATTGGTACTTTACCCAGGTTTGACTCAGTGAAGCAAGGTTCCTGATTGAGTGAACACTGACAGTAGGGAAGTAGCTTCCATTGTGAGGAGACCTTGGGGGCTTCCCACCACTCCTATCTCCTGCCACCTCAGCCCACAGACGTGCTGTGGGCTCTTAAAAAAACACAAAGCACAGTGAACCAGACTTCTGAAAATCTCATTTGAAAGCATCTCATGCAGTACACCACAAGGCACTCAATTTGTCCACTGCTGGGAAGGGGAAAGGGCAAGGCGGTTTGGCTTAAACCTGTGCTTGAACAAGTCCAGATGTTTTGAATCTCAATAATCCATCCCTGCCAAAATATCAGAGGTGTGAAGGCTGTGACCTTAATTAATTAAAATGACCTCCTAGCAAACTGGCTTTTCTAATGTGTCTGTCTTTTTCTTTTTTTCTTTTTCTTTCTTTCTTTTTCTTTTTTTTTTTTTTTTTTGTCTGAGCATCTCCATTTTCTAATGTAGCTTATTTTAAACCATGAATGATTTCTGATTGGGTATTTCAGGGAGTTTTTCTCCCTTTCTTTGTTTGCTTCAGAAAGGCAGTAAGAAAGAAGATTGCTTCTCACTGCGCTAGGCAAAGCCGGGTAATGGAAGTTTTAATGAAAACACAGCAGCAGAGATGATGGGAAGTGGGAAGACCAAAGTTAACCACATACGAAAGAGTTCAGGCAAATTCACTCTTGCAGCTGCAGCAGTGGAGATATTTATAAGGCCAAAAAAAAGCAGTACCAATTGGTAGAGCTCCACAGCCACATCTGAGCAGTGTGACTGAGCAAACCCTGAGAACTGAAAAGACCAGAGCCAAAGCATTTGGCTGGGAATACTGGGTGAGGGATGGGAGATAGGGCTGCTTTCCCCTCTCCTCCTGTCCTCTGCTCTCCCCTTTGGTTGCATGGAAATTCTGAACTGGAAACCAAATGAAGCAGGATAGAGAGAACTCCATACCTTGAAAACTCAAGGCAAAGACCAGGGGTTAGGCATGTAAATTCTTGGACCCCATCCTTCTCCCTTACTAAGATCTTTTCATTACCGTGCCATCCAACCCACACAGAAACCTGTGCCTGCTCTAAGCGCACCTACTCACACTGCACCATCACCTTCACAGGACGAGAGGTAAAAAAATAAATCTATGAGCCCAAAGAAGGAAGAAAAATGCCTCCCAAAGGAAAAAAAAAACCCACCAGAATTGCTGTTCCAGCACATCACGTACGATCAGGTGGATAGATGGAGTCAACTAAACAGCACAGCCCACAAAGCCACAAGATGTTCATAGAAATTAAGCTATCGAGCCAATGCAACCCCTCCTGCAAGTTTTTGCCATGTTTCCCAGCTGTTTCAAAGCCAAGCAACCCTTGCAAAGCACAGTAGCCAATCACACCAATCTGAGGAAAACAAGAGCTGCCACATTTAGAACCCTCTGTGTGAAACAGTGCAAGATAAACCAGGCCATCCATGGCTTCTATGCAAGAAGTCTCGAATCAAGCTAAAAGCATGACAATTTAAAGGCAGCAACAACAAAAATCCAGTTCCTCCTCCCCCTCCCCCCCAACGCTTACTTCTCCAGCTTTTAAGCTCACTGAAGACAGCTGACAAATGCTTATTATCTTCAGCACATTTCCAGATTTTTTCCTTCAGCTTTGGGCACTGTATTCGTAGCACTTTCAGCAGTGGTCTCATGGCTCATTGCTCTCAGCCCAAGACTCACATTCACTACTTTTTGCCCTTGGAGAGCAGTTAGAAGCTGTAGGTCTACTGAAACATGGAATCTGGTTCAGAGCTGGCAGCCCTTTTGCACCCACTGAAGACAACAAAACTCGCCTTATAATAGGATGTTAAAGAATAAGCACCATTTGTTTTGTTATAAATGCATGGAAGACATGACTGGAAGTGCTAGGAATTAGAGATACAGAAGTGCTTATATGCAAGCATCTAAAATTAGTGATGTTCTCATCGACGGGGTTTCAGATATTAATTTGACTGCTGTTTCAAAGCAAACTTTCTGAAAGCTGGTTTATTAAATATTAGGACAAATCCTAAGCAGCCTTTTTTATGCTTATGTATCTGAACAGACCTACATCTCTGGGCTAGGGGATGAAAGCAACGTCAGGCACTTCATTTCTGCAAAGCGCTTCCTTCCTCACATGAAAGACACTTTGTCAAACAAACTAACTTCAAGTCTTTGACTTCAGGTAACTGTCGTTCATCAAAAAAAGAAATCATCCACCGACTTCAGAACAGCCCTAGTGAATGCAGGCTTCAGGATGTCACCTTTCTGGAATAGTTTTTAAAAACAGAGCCAGCTACTGAGGGGCAGCAAATACCTGTAGCCAATTTCTAGGAGCTTTGCATGTCCTCTGCTGCTTCTGGGATCTAGCCCATGGACAACAGGATTAGGAACGGCCTTTTTGTTAAGATGGCCGAGTCTTGCCTCAAGGATGTAAATGTGTGAACTCCAACACCTCTATTTCTTTTGAACATTAAAAAAATAAAGCCCTTAAATAGCATCCTGCACACATGAGTCCCTGTGGGCTTAGCGGCAATCTGCAATAGCAGAACCTTCCTCTGATGTGGGGCAGGTCTGGGACGAAGAAAAGCTGCCCATTCTTTCTTTTCACCATACCAACTTACTGCAGTACAAAATGAGGATTTTTTTTTTTTCCTTTTAACCTCCATTGTGTCCCCCAAGCCACCAGCAGACCATGCTGCACCCAGGACACATACAGCACTTTGTACGGAGCCAGTACAGGAGGCTCAGTGTCAAAAGCAGCACGTGGACGTTCAGCAAGCAGCTCTCACTGTGCCAACAGCAGACTGGCTACTAAGCTCCCACACCTCTTTAAGAATGTTTCCTCTGTCTTTTAACACACGTTTGCACAAATCTACTTAGAAACTGAGTCCAAGCAAGCAAAGATTTAGCTGGGAAAAAGTCTTTGCCGTTACAAAGCTGGCCCTGCTCCAGGATGGAGAGCATCTGGCTGCCAGCTGTGCTAAGAGGACAGCGGGCTTAAGGAACAGAGCAGGGAAAAATTGAGAAAGGAGCAGACAGTGCTGAAATCTGTCCTGAAAAAGAATACCAGCCTTCCTCTCTGATGTCCAAAACCTTTGCCCTCATACATTCCCCATCCTCTTCCCAGCTCTGAAGCTTGCTCTTGGGAAATTGCCCATTCAGGAGAACGCAGCTAGCATCTCCGGGCTTGGGAAGGGATCCAGTGGGGCTCCAGAGTTACAAGTTGGGAAGTTTGGAAGCTGGCAGCACATGAGGCAAAGTGGAAATGTGAGGAAATTCTGGAAGCAAAGGGAGGTCCCTGTGGAGAGGCAGAGGGAAAGATCTGCAGTGAGGCAGGGATAGGATGCCTGCAAGGCTTGAAGAATACAGTGTGGGGCTTGTATAAAAAAGGCACACGGAAAGAACCAAAGCAGCCCTTCACCCCCTGTAGGGTAGGAAATTATTATTAAAAAAGAGAAGGAAAAAAAATCACACGTTTTTCTAAGGATTTTGTATTTTTTTCCATTTTACCTAGAGTGGCTGGAGAAGATTCAAGGCCATATTTTCCCCTCAAAATTTGGAAATTATAGCAACTTGTGCAAAGACTAAAGAAGCAGAAGGCTATTTATTTTCTAAAGTGATAATACCATCTCTCTAAAAATTCCTAATAAAAAGCTCTGATGGAAAGAGCTGTATCTGATAGGGATGGTGGTCACAGGCACCCACTGAAACTCACACTGCTTTTTAGATTACATTTACAATAGAGCCCTTCCCCCAGCCCCAGATTAATGGAATGGGGAATCCATGCATGAAACCACATATCACAAAACCAGGAGATTATGAAACAAGCCAGGAGACGGGATCAGAATTGAAATTGATTTTGATGAACTGGGGAAATTGCCCCAATTAAACCAGAACAAATTTAATAAAGACAAGTTGAAAGTGTTAAAACTTTGGAAGGTGGAGTAAACAAGCACACACATAAAAAAGGGAACTCCTGGGACAGCAGCTGTAAGTCACCCAGGAATTGTAATGCAAGGTAGGTTAGATGAAAGTCAGCCACGGGATGTAGAAAATATTCTGGGATATATTTTCTGATATGCTCTCTGTAAAACTCATGAGACAGTCTCTGAGCCTTGCTTGTTGCTGTATAAATCCCCCACAGGAGCAGAACATTCTGGGAAGCTGGGAAGACATGAGGGGAAAGACAGCAAAAATCAGAGGCTTAGAAAATATTACCTGAAAGGACTAAGGAAGACTTAAAGTGAGGGAGGTATGATAATTCCTCTCATACGCAGAATAATTTTGTAAAAAGGCTGTGGATTATCTGTTCTTCCTCTTGACTGAGGCTGGAAGAAAAAGTGTTTTGATTTGCAGCAAAGAATTTCTGAACAGTCTGTCAGGAAACCTTTCTGATGATGGGTTTGGTGGAGATGGTGGATCGTGCAACAGCTCTGAATGACAGGTTATTTGGGGTCCTTTGCTCCTACTGTTTGCTACAGACCAGCAAAGCAGATCTGGTGGCGGCAGCGGGTGCCACGCTTTCTGTCATACCCCAGACTCACAACCCTGCAGAGGAGCACAGGGATGCAGCAACATGTGGACCAGCAGTGCTGCACATGGACACGGCAGTGTGAGCCTGGAGATGGGCACTCTGCTGCTACAACACAACCTCTTATTTTCCCTTGGAGGACCCAAACATGATGTCCATGAAGTTCATGTATAGGCACCAAAGAATATATTAATTCCTTCATCTCTAAAATAAAAAACAGTGAATATTACCACAGATAGTCCCAATTCAACTTATCAGGAGAACAACTAGCAGAGTTATCAGTATTGCCTTCCTGGTAAGTCCAAAGCAGGTTCCTACTCATGCTCAAAAAACATCACCTTCAAGGAGAAAGTATGCACACAGGATTCTATCCCCTTACCAAACACTATGAATATTTGAGCTGGAAACAGAGGCACAACACTTCTGGCTGCCATTAGAACATCCAACACCAGACTGCCTATCAAAAGGTACACCTATGTGCTTGTTTCCCAGAAAAAGACATTCTGCCTATGGATATACGTGTGTGCAACTTTTGATGACATCATTGGACACTACACATGTACCCAAGGGAAAATTTTTAATATCATGATTATTGTCTGAAAATCTTTCCTACTTTAAAGCATGAAGCTGCTGGATGAGGTCTGCTCCTGCCTTGCACAAAGGATGGCTTTCCTTGGATGAGGAGACACAGTGAATGACAACAAGCACCCTGCATGTTATTGCTCCATCAGCCACAGTCATGTTTCTCCACAATCACAACATTCACAAAAAGCTGTCGTGACCTGAATGTTCCTAACAACATCCTGTGTGAATATTTTGCTAGGCAGGAAAACAAATGGTCTAACTGACTGACATGCTGTGTCTCTAAGACATTAGCATCAGTTAAGACATTTTTGTACTTTCTTGCAGAAATTAAAAGGCATTAAAAGACCAACCACATGGGATGCTTTACACCTCAAGTCATAACTAAATCCAAATCTGTGTTTTCTGAGCATGCCCAAAACCATCAACATGGAAGAGCACCTAACGTAGATATTTCCACAGAAGAACAAGAGGCTACCATGCACCATCAAAATAAAATTTCTAGAGTCTATGAGCTGGGCACAGTTTCTGAACAGCATGCTAGAAAATAAATACATTAATGTCACTTTGCCACGGAAAAGGCAATATCTTTGCTTGCATCTTGCTGCGGTCTTCTCTGTGTTTTAAATCAAAAGATTCATGAAAAGCATTATTCAAAGACAGAGCATCAGGAATGTTGTGGCACGGAGCAGATCTGTCTTGCTAACAACAGGTTGCAAAACAAATGAAGTTTGGACATTAAATCGCACCCTCCATCCCACCTCACCCAAACCCTGCATTGTAGATAACCTATACATTCTCAGGATACAGTGAGAAATCATTCTATAGTACATATTTAATTATAATTTAAAAAAGTCTAACTCGGACACAATCTCTGGTCAGTAGCAAAGTATCGACACATCACTAGAAGAAAGATCTGTTATTATCCCTTCACTGTAACAAACAGAAATCAGCATCTCGAGAAGGTCTCTGGGGGTATCATATCACAACCAACTGCACTGAGTAAAATAATATGCTGATTTTACAAATGGAGTTTGACAAGAAGTAACATTGCATTTGTCTTGGCAAAACGAAGCACGAACAAAACATTTCACAGGTACAGTTACCATGCAAATGCATGTTGAGTTTGTCATTGTTTTTAACCCCAAATCACAAGAAGCATGCAGTTTTCCTGCCCCCCCAACTACTGTATTAGAGATAGCCTGGGTAATGTACCTCTTTGGTGTAACCATAGCCTGTAGGCAAGATTATACCACTTTAGGAAAGAATACAAGCAAAACTCGATCATATGTGTGTTTACACAATGTACATTTTAACCATTTAAAAAACAAAACATGTTACATAGATTCTCAAACACAACTCTGTTGAAAATGAAATTTTAAGCTTAAGAAATAGTTTTTAAACTACAAGGCCACCCCATTATTTTTATGAACAATTTAAAAAGTTCCCACCCCTAAAAATCTGCCAGTATGTATATTTCCTCAGTTGTAACAGTCTTACCCACTCTCCTAACACAATCGATCTTTGCTCAACAGCAACAACAGTTCTTACATTTTTTTAAGTGTATAGTGGACTCCGGGATAGATATAGTTCTTAAATGTGAAACGATGGAACATTTGCTTTAAATGTGTAATTGGTCAATTCGGGTGTTCCATGGCACCACCGTTCAGGCAGGGGCTGCTGCTGTTCACTGATGTGAGTTCTGGCTTTTGTTGGCATCCAGCTCCACGACTACACTTTTGTGTTCAGAATTTGGGTACAACAGCGATGCACTGGACGCTCTGGTAGGCCTGTTGCTCAGAAGCATACAGGAGCTATGTTTTCCATATTCCCTCATCCAAATGAGGCGGAAGTCTCAGTGCAGCACCTTTGGCCAACACAGAACTATTTGGATGTGAAGTAGAATCTATTTTGTGTGTATTCATTTAAGCAACTGCAACAGGAGACTTAACTTGCAGGGTCTTTATTAGAGCGTTACCGTCTTCCTCAGCTTTATACAATGGAGCCCTTTGAAGAAGATAAATGAATTGACTGAATCCTTGTGGCCAACGTCCTCTGTAAGTCCTGTAGTACATTCTGACCAGACGTTTCTCCATTCTTGTCATATAACAGCTGCTTGAAAGCTTCGTTTTCAATGAGGACCATCATATTTTTTAGAAAGTAGCCTTCGCAGTAGGAAGATAGTTCTGTGACTCCGAGAAACTACAAGAAGTGAAATTAGAGAAAGATAACTATTCTGATAAAACCTAGTCAGCATGAACAGTGCTAAGATCTGTACACAAACAAATGCACAAGCGGAGCCTTTCAGGATGGCCCACTTAACACTTACAGATATACATGTTGCAGGGGCACAAGTTAATCAAACAGTATTTTATACCAATGATTTTATACCAGTGGCTACAAGTTCAGTGTTAAGAGGATGAAGCTTTGGTCCCTTAGAAATTGCTGTGAGTTTTACCACTGAGTTCACCAGACCCATGATTTCATGTTAGTAGCCACATCCTAAGCCCATAAGTTTGGGAAGAACTACGAGAGACCTTCAAGTTTCATGAACTCTATCCTTAGCAAGAGTAGGATTCTTGACTGCAGAAGCCTGTTGTGCAAAACAACAGCTTTGAGGGATCTCTGGAGGAGGAATGGAGGCTAGGTGTGAGCTCAACTGTGTGAGCAAACCAAAATGACCCATACTGACCATCTGATGGGTGACTCATAGTGGTGATCACCCACTGGTTAGTTCCTGCGGTCACACGAGCAGTACAGCCATGATACATAGGAATTTAAGCTTTGTGAGTGTACAGAGCACAGCTCAGCACATCCTCCTGTGCAGGTAAGTTCCTGCTGAGTTTGAGCTCTGACAAAAGCATGAATCTTTGGCTCTGGAGTGCATCCGTGAGGCCAGGACTGCTGGGAAATTTCATAGCTTTGGGTCCAGACTGTAACAACCGCACAGCACTGTTATCCTACACCATCTTAACGTTATGTTTGGAGCTAAGAATGGAAACTGTTAAAAACTAAGAGAAGGAATATGTATTAGGACAAGGTAGGTTCTATCTTCCAGAGGAAAATTCAATTTCAAACCATGCAGGTTTTCAACAAATTACGAGTGTGTTATTTTGCACCTGGGTGTGACAGCACATGTTTGAATCTGTATTCTTCTCTGAAACACCATTCATCTCTATTCATTATTTTAATATATCCACAGTCTTGAGAAAATGCTGTATTTTTCTTTTCTTTTCTCTTTTTTTTTTTGTCAGGCTTGTTCTGAGGCTCAGCTTGCAAGCTGTGCAAACACTGAGTGTTTTAGACAAATACTTAACACTCCAATTGATTTTTCTGAGACTTTGAGTAAAAAACAACTGGTTTCTGGTGGTAACTGATCAGTCACCATTATAAATCCTGGTCAAGAATTTGCCTGGTGAATTCATCTTTTTCTGGAGGTAGCATGTAAATGAAACCCTGAAAGTGATGCTGATAAAAAAACTGCCTTCGTAGATATTGCAATCCTATGAACAGAAAACCACAGGTGATTTAATATTTTCCATTCAGTTTTGAAATTGCAAGTGAGACAAAATCCACATTCTCTCACATTTCTAGCAGTACTTCACCTCCTTAACCCACAGCCCTAAACTCTCATTCCTACAGCTCTTCACACTGATAAACACTTCTTTCCTATAACATATGCCCCTACCACGGACAGTGTTCCAAATCTCTGCTCACTTCATCCTATGCTTCCACCAAATTAGGTCTTAATTGTAATGAGAAAGACTGTGTTCCCTGTGTCCAGGTCAGCCTGCTTACACATTTTCACCTGGAAAAGCAGATCTCAGCATCTCCTGACTTCCTGCAGGTGCAGCTGATCTTGCAAAGTAGTGAGGACTAGAAATTGTACCTACACAGTGGAAAGGCAGACAGTGTGCTGGCAAGCTGCATCTGAACTGCTTGTGAGCTCCCCTGGCTCATGAGGACATCTGGTCTCTTCTGCCATGTGCCATTCACGTAAACAAGCAATGAAGCTGCAGTGTGGTGGGAGCAATCTGAGCAGAATGAACTAGGCTCAGCTTAGTAAGCTGCACAACACACAGACCAGAAGCAAAAAGATGGAGTAGTCTACTCTTCACACAGCACGGAGGAGAAGTATTTGAACTAGCTTTAAATGTGTTAGTTCATGTTCTAAAAACCTTCTAGGTATAGAAGTATAAAGCTTAGCCCTGGTAATTTACTGGAAGCAGGGTCAATTAGAAGAGCTCTGAAGTGATGTAGTTTAACCAATTCCAGAAGTCAGGATTTCATTCGCAGCTAGCTTAGCTATCTCTGTAATGTGCTACATGTCAATGCAAACGTGACCCTGGCCTTAAAAACCTCTCAAGTAAACCATTTGCACTGACTACTGAGAGATAAAGGCACAGGAAACTTGCAGGCTGAAGCCCTTACTGGAAAACAGGAACCAGATTTAGCCATGAACACTGGGTTTCTTCAATCCCTCTGCAGCACTGGCAGCGTAGAAGTCCCTCAGACAAGTCTAAAGCTTGGTATAAGAACATTCTTCAATCACGATACAACCATATTTCACAATCCAAAGAAAGCATGTGATTTTAAAACAAAATTGTTCCATTTACTTTTGGTAATAGCAATATAAATTGAAAAGTTCCCTCATGAACTTGAAGATAAATGAAGAATTTTTCGAGAGTACTGCACTGGTGATTTTATTTCCTATTACAATAAGTGATCCTGCAAATACACCTCATTTTTTATTCATTTTATATGGAACTTTATGCTATATCGAACACTGATTGCATGGTATCAGGATCTAACGTTACTACTCAGTGTAGGAAATAGCTGATTGGAATGGAGGTCAGATCTGCAGGGGCTTGGAGCAATCTGCAGGATTACCCTGTTCAGTCAAACCTCAGTACCACACTACAACATTTTCATATAGTCCATGTGAGGAAAATCATTCAAGGATTGCTTTAAAATTATTTATTGCAACTATTTTTTATCATTTCCATCTTCCAAGACTTATTACTTAGCAAATGAGGGGAAAAACTGAAACTCTTCCATGTGGCTATCACCTTCATCAGTGACCTAAAATACCTTTTCTAGGTCAAAACATGCCACACGGTTATGGCTGGTGGCCTCCACACAAGCTAAGTAAATGATTTAATTCTAGTCTCTCCTTTCCAAGACATAAAATTCTCACTACTGTGCTTGCATTGCTGTGAGACACTACACTTTGACAATGTGGCATTTTCATATTGAAAATGAAAAAGCTGTCACCAGCGCTGAGGGGTTTAGGCTAGAGGCAACAGGAACTTTAATAGGAAAATGCAGCCTGGAAGGTGAAAAAGAGACATCTTATTCAGTTAGGTGATTCCTGTTAAGTAACTTAGCAATTTGGGGTCGCTGTGATAAGATACAGACCTGCCACAAGTGGAGTTTGAACCACTGGAGGATAGTAGGAGGGTGAGAAGTTGCCACAGACATTCTTAGACGTGATTACGGACTGTCATTCTCCCAGTACCTTTTTACAGTCCCAGTACATGAATGACAAATGCTAAATATGCAACAAACATAGTAAGCACATGACATACGCATTACTACTTATGCGTATCCAAAGTAGTGACCTATGAGCACGAGGACAGACAAGTAACATGCATGTGTGGTTATTTTTACCTTGGCATGATTATAAATATCCACGCAGTTTTCTGTATTAATGCTTTTTGCACAAATGATCTCACAGTGTCGTTGTAAAGCTTCAAGCTGGAAAAATTTAGCAGCAGAGAGAAGCTAAAAAAAATAGGAAAGAAAGGAAAAAACAGTCAAAACTGCTGAGCAATACACATTCAGAGCTTGATTCTTTACTGCTTCATTATAGTTTTTCTCTGCCCCTGCTTCAGTCTGAGTTAAAGCACTGACCCCTGACAGTCAATCAGAATGAGAGGGTTACTGTAGTCTCCTCTAGATCCCACTGTGAGAAGGTGGATATGGAGGGACCACCACATCCTGTTCAGGTCCATATGCTGGCCTTGGGACAGGGATCTGTGTGTGTGTCAAGAAGAGGCAGATTGGAGAGTCCTTGGTCACTCTGCAAACATGCAAGTAGGGATCTGAGGCTACATTCCAGGAAAAGAAGGTTTGGATTCAAGTGTTCCTCAAGATCTGGCTGAAACAGAACACCTGGGTTTGATGTGGGGATGTCAGCAGAAGGGTCAGGACCACGAGTATAGAAGAATTCAAACCAGATGAGGATAACCACCCTAGGTAGTCTTAAAAACCTAGAGAAGCAATAACCTTCAAACTTCTCACCTCAGAAGGCTCCAGTAAATGGAGTCAGGTCTCCACATGCTCCTTGCTCTATCTCATCAGCAGCAGTAAGGTTCTAGACCATGGGTGCTGAAATGTCACCTGGCTCCAAATGACTGGGAACCAGCTTGATGCGAGGCAGCACCTAGCACCACTAACATGAGGGCTGTGCATCCGTAACACTACACACTTGTGCCATCAGGACTCACACTGACCTCTCTCTTTGGTCCTGTGCCCACCCAGGATAGGCAGCCTGGACTGGCACTGCTCTGGAGATCTCTGCATGGCACAGTGAACATAACCTGAAGCCTGCAGCATGAAAAACTGGCTTAAATTGTACCTTCTCCAGCTGATTTCCATTGGATTGCCCCTACTGCTCCTTTTCTGTCCTCTCACAGTTGGGGGAGTGAGCTTCATTTTCTGCTTTTCTGAAGTCCATTATCACTTCTGGCTCTTTGCTCTGCTTTAGAAAGCAGACTGAGGTTCCTCACTGCTTTATAACCCAGGAAGGTCCCTTCAGGCTGAGCTGGTCACAAGTTCTGGTGTTTATAAGGGCCTTACCAACACAGACCTTAGGGCACAGACTTCTCATGATTCCCAGAATGGCCCTTATGCTTCTAGGTAGGAGCGCTGGGGAATAAAACCCTCAAACTGCCATAACATTATTCTTACTTCTCCTATGCAGTCCGCTCAAGTTCTGCTTTAGTCCCATAAATAAATCCAAGTGCTGGAAATCTGCAGTGCTGATGTGATAGCAGCCAGCTGGCCTCAATTATGAATTGCAGCAAAGATTTCTTTGGAGTATTTCTGGTGCTTCTTGTTATCATATTTGTAATAAGGCAAGTTGCTAAATGCAGTTTTGAAAGATAAAGCTAAATCCTATTCCAGCTGCCTCTGTGGCTGAAGCAGTCACGTGCTGGTTTGTAATTACTTTAAACTGTGAGGAACCGTAGCCAGATCTGTTATCAACAGATCAATCAATCAGCCATACATTCTGGAGTCACAGAAGTTTTGAGATGCCACAAAAGTAGAGCAAGCAGCCAGCTGAACTGCAGCACCAACTTTTTAACAACCTCGGTGATTACATATGCATCACTACGAAGCTGTTGCGCTTTTTAGTCTGAAACTCTCCTTATTTCAGAAAGAGTAGGAATTTAAGGAGCTTTTTTCAAATCTGTGAATGAGAGAACCAGTGACCTTTTCCTGTAAAACTCAGAAAGCCAGTGTGGGTCCACCATCTGCAAAGGACAGGGATGATCTCAGTCCTGACTAGTTCCATCCTTTGGTTGCCAGCAGGATTCACAAAGATGTCCCTGTATCTATCATAACTGCTTCATTTTGGCTACCATTAGTTAACTGTTAACAGGAAAGCTCCTGAGTGACTACCACAACTTTGATCTAATGTGTCTTAGTTCTGTTGAATTGGAATTGTTAGGTTGATCAGAGATGGTAATGACAGCACACAATATCTGGAAGAGAAGGATCTAACATCCACACAGGTTATGGACGTGTGACTGTGCTGGAGGTTCAACCAGTTCCAGAGGGCTTGGCTTGTTGGTGGGTATTGCAAATGGGCACAATGGCAATGGACTTTAACACCCAGTAAGAAAGTGGCAAATAATTATCTCAGGAAGAAAGATACGAACACTTTTGGCTAATAAGCTAAAAGTAAGAGTGTTGTAGAGAAGCTCACTGGCCCAACTCAACAGAGCACCTCACCTACGGGCTGAGAGACAGAAAAGACAACATATTATGCTGCTGGGAGCTGTTTCCAGATATGCTGCTGGGAATTGTTTCCAGATATTGGTAACACCTGTTTTGCATTTCTTTGAAAGAGCCTCACAAGTATCTCAGTAGATATTTTTATTTCAGACAAACTATTTTGTTTGGTGATCATTATTTTTCTACCTGGGCACTCTGGGCACTCAGCAGGAGGCAGTGATGTCTCTTACAGGAGTGCTCATGTCTTGCCCAGTTGTCATATACCCTTGGGTAAAGAGTAAACAAATCATTTAGCATTGTTCTCCCTGAAATTTACCTAAATGTATCTTACCTCCATAATTTCATTATTTTTAATCAAGAGTGACTCTGCACCTCCATAGTAAAGATACTGCATAACCAGCTGTAACAAAACAAAAGGAGTGTTTATAAAAACAGTCAGTGACAAAGGAAGAAAGGAATGATGTAGAGATTGCATGTAACACCAGAGGCTCTCCAGCATCACTAAGGATACATAGATAAAACTGGCCAAATCCTCCTAATTTCAAGATATATTTGGTTATTCTCTCTCTCTCCCTGCACAGTTCAATTGTTCCTTCTCTTGGGTATTCTTAACCCTCACCAGTCATGTTGTCCATGCTTTTTCTTGATGCCTAAACATTGTGCAGAAAGCTGATTAATTCATTCTGAGTTTTCAATGTCTTTTCCAATATGTACAGTGCATCATTTATTCAGGATAATAAAGCATATATAACGATTATTCCTTTATTCCCCCCTCGGCAATGGGACCAACACCTCCACTCAGCTGTGTGAGGGCATGCATGGATGACAATAAATAATTGTGGAGGCTTTACACTGTAATAGGAGACAACTAAGATCTCTCTGCAGTGAGCTTCCAGCAAGTTTAAAGTCACTGTAGTGAGCTGGGAAATATCTTCATCTGTAACAGTCGATACATGGAACTGCCTGGGCTCTGACTCAAGAGAAGTGAAGCATATACAAGTATATGCTATAGAAAATACTCTGTATTTTCATGGCAAAAAAACTGATTGAACAACATTGCTAAAGAAGCAAATGAACTGTGCCTGGAAGCCTGTCCATTAAATACAGAAAAAGTCAGCAAGAGAAAAAGGAACCAAGTACTTCCCAATGACATGCTCTGCTTTATCTGCATACCCTGTATAAGTGAAATGTATGCTATTGAATCTGGTTGGGCATGACATTTGCAATCAATAGCACTATGCAGCTTAGTGTATGCAAGGAGATGGATTCTGTGCTCATGAAACCACTACTCTGAGCTATATGCTTATCAAATATACATGTATTAGTTCAGACAGGGCATGTACAATGTTTCTATGTTCCATTCAAATTCAATGTGAGAACTGACTTTACCTGAAAGATGGGGTACTTCACATAGTTGATCTCAATACAAGTACTATCAGTTGAGGGCTTGCTAGACAGCAATGCTTTAAACCTAAATAGAAAGGAGCAAGATTGAAATACCAGCCCAATTATCTACGTGGAAAACTATGGCAGAGTGGAAGGACAGCATCAGCTCTTGCAAAAACAGTACACTGAAATGAATGGATTTGTCACTGAAATGCATCAGGATTCAGACAGTTACACAAAATAAAGTTCAGATTGAAAGGAAGAAGCCTCTCTTTTAGGATATTTCAATTTGAAATTTTGGAAAAATACTTCTGATACCACAATAGAAAAAATGCATACAGGAGATTCAGATACCAGAAAGATGCATATCACAAAATCAAACTTCTTGTTTTCTTTTCTTTTTTTCTTTTTTGCTTGAAGGAAACATGGTTGTTTAGGAAGTTGCAATATTTAAAACTGTGCACTTACTTTATTTGAAGATCATTTTTAGCCTATTTCTATTATGCTGCTGCAAAAATGTTTTGAACAAAACCTTTACAAAAACAATTACATTAAGGTTACTGCTTCTACACGGGCTTGATACAATTGTGTAAGAAGTAAGAGAGAAAACCGGGTATGCTACTTTTTCTGATGATCAAAACTTGAAATTCAGACATAGGTTTCAAGATAAAAACACTTCTAAAGTTAATTATTGCTAGATATTCTCATTTGATTAGAAGGCGAGTGCACCATCAGAAACATCTGCTCTTTTACCCTCTCTTGTCAATAATTCATCTGACCTTCTAGAGGCAGTGCAAACTTTAGTTTATCTATCAAGACCAGCATTTGCTGGATGGTAACCTCTTCCATACTATGACTGCATTTTAATTAAAATATGGCTAACAATTGATTTGATCTTATTAGTGACAAACTCTATTTTAAAGGCAATTTAATAAGCTTAGAGCTAAAGTTTGGATTGTGCTTGCACATCTTTAATTATGAAGTTGTGTACAAATACCGTTTGTGATCAATGTAAAAAAAGAATACTCTTGAAGGCTGAGCTGAGTGACCCACATCCAGCCTTCTGAGCTTGGGGAGGAAACCATAAGTACTGCCTTTTGATACAGCATGACATGTTTTGTATGCATCTAATTTTATTTTAAAAAAATGTAAAATCCCCAGTGAATCAAGTGATAGTAACTCTTAGAGACTGTGTACATGGATGCAAGACAAGATTTAGCTGCTCATGGAATAAATGACTATTAAGAAGCAAACTATTATGCCCTATGTTTAAGGGCTGGATAAAGTGATGAGCTCCATGCAAATGTGCCTTGGTGGAATGAAGTCAGCTGCATGGCAAGAAGCGTGGAGCATTTACAGGATGGGAATCTAGTGATGGGAGCACTTGTTAATACCCTGCAGATCAATCAGGAATAGGCTGCTGAGATTTGCTGCTTAGGAAAAACTTGCAGATTGAGCCATTAACCCTCAAAGAATCTTAACAACACTAACAAAAATACAAAAACACAAAATCAATTTCTATTTTTGCTAAGAAACGGAAATGTCTCTACATCTTACCGTGGTGATGCAGTAAATAGCAGCACTCTGTGTGCATAAAATGGTCTTCCTTCCACCAGAAATGTAACATCTGACATCTCTTTGTTGTTAAGAAAATGGGGATCTAGAATTACAGAAAGGAAAAAAAAAAGAAACAAACCACCAATAAATTTGGTTCGGAAGAGTTCATGAATGTACATAATATTTTCCTGTTTTGACAAAAGAAGACAATGGTGTAAAAGGATATTGTTTATAATGAGTAAAGTCTATCAAGCTATTTTGGACAATCTGAGACAGGAGACCTACAGTCTACATGGAGTTCAGACTGAGGAAATTCAAAGCTTTGAAATCCATGTCAACCTTTGCTGAGATGATGGCCAGCCAGTCCTGCCACAGGGAGCCAGCACAGCTTCCCAGCTTGGTTCCCCAAAGCAAACTGCAGAGAAATACCCTCAGGCTATACCCTCACCCTCTCCCTGGGCAGGTAAGACTTTGTGCCAATGGGAAAAGTATCCTGGAAATTGGCTCACTTCTTCTCTAGGTCACATTAAACCAACTTGGGCTCTGCCAGCAGGACTGGGAGTGCCATGCCACCACAATGTCACCCGCAGCCACCACAGTGATTTGAGATATGGACAGACATTTGGCTTCAGGCCCTAGGCTGTAATTTCAACCTCATTAACAACTCAGATCTTTGCAGATTTACAGTCCCACTCCAGTATCTGATGGTCCTACTGATTTCAGTGGGAGTTTAGGACAGGCTAAGTTCAGGGCCTCTCATTTTTCTTGTCCTGCCTTCCAAGTTCACATTTTCTCTGACTTGTACACTCAGCAATGAGAATTTCCCTTTGCTCTCCTTAAAGAACCAAAGAACCATCTTCAAGTCATGCTTACCTAAGCGAGAGGTCTGCTTGCGCTTAATTTCCACAAGCTTTGGAATAGGGTAGGGTCCGTAGCAATGAGTGAAAATGACAGATAACTGCTGACTTATCACTTCGTTCTAAGCAAAAGGAAACAAACACAAGCAACATAAACTTAGCATTCAAAGGGAGACATTACATTATTCTCAAGAGTTGTTTGTTTTGAAGCTGAAAAATGTGATTGCTGAAACTTTATGAAAAACCAGAACTTCAGTATTTGTTATAAACCACTTGTTTGTTGCATCCCCTGTAGGAAGCAGGTAAAATGGAACGTCCTCTCCTTGGACCTTATTTTCCCAACAAACTCAAACATCACCATCCCTTTCAAATAAGCCATGTTCCTTTACAATAGCCATTTCATTTTATTTTCAAACTTACTTCAATGTAAAATACCTTTTTTTGCTCTTTGCAAAGTGGTCATTGCTCCTGTTTTAGAAAACCAGGGTTACCAAACAGATAGAGCTGCACAGCCAGCATACATTTCTAAGCATGACATCCTCACATACAGCCCCACCTTTACAGAATGACAGAAGCATCACAGAATGCCACCGAAGCTCCTCATTTAACCCCAAACATGCTGTTAATATGATCTTATACCCCTGGCATTGGTTTTGGTAACACTACTCTGAGGAGACCACCAGAACCTCACAGCTCCCTGGCTCTACTCAGACTAAGCTTCAATGATAGTGAAATGAATTTAGTGCTTAACCACCTGAGTCACATCTGATAGCAGGATTTAAAAGTTTTGGCAGATTGTATCCCAGTCTCTGCTGGTAACTGGAACTTATCAAATTCAATGGAGCCACACAGACAATTCCTGAAAATGAAGTATCTTGACTTTCAGCTAGCATGTTGGTTGGTAATTCCCTTCCATACTGGGAAACCATGAAAAAATGTGATGCTTAGACAGTCCAAGACCAAGGAAGTAAGCAGGTAAGGAGGTAAAATAATAACAATATAAACAATGGAGGAGTTTAGATGTCATACTAAAAATATCTTCAGGCTTATTAAGCAGAAATTGAAGTCTTCCTTCTCTGAGCACATTTCAATTCAGTTCTAAAAGTAGAAATTCCTTAAATCCCACAAGGGATGAGGAGGAGTGGCAGAAATACTGTAATAACTCTTGCACCGTATCTAATTAAACAGGGTGGGAAAAGGAAACGAGCTGTGCCTTCATAGGCACACGCTGATGTCAAAGGAAATTACATGCACTCGCCTGCAGGCAGAAGTTGGCTCCTATTACTACATCAGACATAATATTGAAAGAAATATTGGGATAAGAGAGAGATACTAAGAAATACTGATACCAAGAGAGACCATTCAGCACGGCATGGGAGCAGCCACCAGTGAGGGCTCACTGTTGTGGCTCCAGGACAACTTGGATGCAGTGCCCCAGGAGCATCTCTGTTCAGCGTAGGCAAAGCTGGAGCTCTGCAAATCGCTTCACAAAGGGAGTGAATCACAGGGCAGAAAGAAAAGGAAGATTTAAAGCCAGATTTACAGAAGGAAGTGACTCAGCCATTGGGAGGGATGGGGGGAAAGCTCTAGACAGACAGGGCAGAAAGAGCAATTGCTTCTCTGCTCAGAAGGGCTGTGCCGAAGCCGTGCTGGCTGAGTCAGCCAGGGAGGAGCATGTCCGGGGGGATGCCGATTTCCAGTGCCTGAGCTGGAGGCAGCAGGCACTAAGATGTCAATAAATACAACACAGGATGAGGCTAATACCATATTTCAGAGTGAAGGGAAGCTTCTGGAGAGGAGAGGAGTAAGAGCAGTGCCTACCTACACATACATATACGTCAGAAAAGACAAAGCATCTCCTCTTCCCTCAGATGCCTATGGGAATGCATTGATAATAAAACAGATATCAACCTCCCAGTGCCTCATTAGGAGCCAGAGGTCTCACCCACTGCAGACTAGGAAGTCCAGGTGCATTGAGACTGGGAAGGAACGAGCCAACCACAGCCATGCAGGGCTGGGAAGAGGATCCACACTTGTAACTTGAATTGGCATGATGGACGAGTCACATGCAAACAAGCCTGGGGAACCTGTCAGTTTCCTCAGCACAAAAAGGGTGATGAGCCCTGCCACAGCATGCGGACCCCAGCCACCATACATCCACCTTGCCACTGACTGCCCACTCTTTTCAACCCCGTTGAAAACTGGTCTAGATTAAGCTCTAATTAACTCAAAATGGGATACGCTCACATAAAAGAAGCTTTAGAACACTACAGTGCAGAACAAAGATGGGGAAAAATGTCAAAGGAAATGGAGACTAGGATCAATGAGTCAAAGGAAGCAGGGCTATCAAGCAGACAGAGACACTACGCATCATGGACCTTCGGAGCTCTCACATAGGACACTGCTTTCATTTGGCAGACAGGAGGCTGGAGACCTTTGGCTTCTGTTGATAGCTTTAAGAAACACTCTCAGATAGAAAGACAAAACATTTAAAGTCATCACTAACAAAATATAGCAAAAAGACATGGAAAGAAAAGAAGAACAACTGCTCCCCACGCAAATCTGCACACAGCCAAGCCTCCCAGGGCCCTGGCCCTGCTCCCTGCAGCCTACTGGCATCTCCAATAAAGCAGCAGAAAGAAACAGCAAGGAGGAGAGATAAAAGGGTACAGTCTGCAACAGCATTGCTGGAGAAAAAAAATTCTTGCTTTTCCAGAAGCCCAATGTTTTTTTCTTGGAGCAAGTTGTGCTCGGCTGCCTGTGAAGCAACTGGAAACAACTACAGGCGACCTGGTACATCAGAATTGCTCCAACGAAGAAGATGACATTCCACCGTATGTGCACCAATGTCAAGAAGCTCCAAAGCTGCCTTGGTTACCACATCCAACCCACTTAAGCTCTGAGCATTATTCTTTCCTGCTTATCCATCACCCTACCAGCTGACTGTGTAAGAACAGATGAAGGAGCTCTCTGCAGCAGTTGTGGGTGGTGATATCAACACCAGAGAAGCAAACCTGTTTGTTTTCTTGCCACGGTTTGAAGTTAGAAAATATTTTGCCTTGATGCTTGATGCTGAGATCCAGATCAAGGCCAGTTTCCTCTCAGATATGAGCATGCATTTGCAGTCAAAGGGAGCTCTGCATACATCTGCTTTTATGGGAGGGGGAAGAAAGCTTGGCATAGGATATAATGAAAATATTTACCTAGCCACAGGGTAGTTTACAAATAGGCTAAAGGGAACAGGGAACAACAGTCAATCTTCTTAAGGAGACAATGCTTCCAGCTGAGAGTTGGTCAGTGAGCAAGCAACTTTGCTTTGTAGATACATGCGGCCTCCTGATTTAAAAGCATTCTTCAGAGGAGATCTAACAGAATTCCCCACACTTGAACTGTGAGAGGAATTCATAAATTCTTTTGAAGCAAAGCTGAAGGTTTTCAAGTTGCCAGAGCAGAGATGACTGAATGATCTGAGAGGAGGTGAAGAACTGGGTGGGGTATCTTTTCCTGAACGCCTTTCTGATGATGAAGGTCTGCTCTGCTTCATTTCTTCTGACTGGGTTCAACCTGGCCTAGCCATTCTGGAATGTCCTACAAGGTACTGGACACAGCTGGGACATACCAAGCAGTTTTCTCCAGTACCTGTGGAAAGTAAGTGTCATCTTGGTGGCTCATGCTCCAAAATCTCAAGAAGCAAAACCTATGCTGGATTCAGAAGTCAGGCTAAGGATTCCCCCTTGCTTTTCCAGCAAGATCACACTTTCCTTTTGTTGCCTCCTCTTCATGGGTTTCCCCACTGATTCTCCGTGGATCACTCAAACCCCAATGGCTAGGAATCCTGACTGGTCTAAGACACCCTGCCACCTCCACCTCATTGCCTTCTACAGCAATAACAATTTAGGCTGCTTTTCTTTGCCAACCTAGCCCAAGAGTGCCAGGCCCTTGAATTCCTCTACCACAAAGCCACAAAAACAAACACAGTGTTAAGCTGAAAAACAACACTCTCATTCTGGGCTCAGTGTTTGTCATTTAATACATATCTGCCCTGTAAACAGAGAAACCATGCTGCTCAGGGCACAGGGGTGCTGGCAAAGGTAACTTTTCTCTTGCTGGTCCTGAGGATGCTGGGAGGACCCAGCTCTCTGCTAAACACAGAGAAGCAGAAGTGCTGCTTCCAGTCACCTGTTCTGCATGTGGTCCCCAGATACTGTTCCAGCAGTGAAGTCTCAAGATGCCTCAGATCCACTTAGGAGTCATGCATGAACTTCCCTCCATAACAAGCTGGGATGCCTTTTAATTATTCCTCTACTTACCCTCCCCTCTTCCCATAAAGAGTCAGTCAGTAAGTGGTAAGGCAATAGAGAGGACTTTTCATAGACCTCCCAAGCTCAAGCACTCAAACTCTGTTATGAGTCTTTCTTTGCCATCCCTCTGAATCTTTGTCATCCTTCCCTGGGTGTTTCCGCTACAGTCTTCAAGCATAATTCATTTTTTACCAGCTGCATCCAAACTGATTAAATGCCGCTTTAGAGGGTCACTCCTAGATGATTAAACAGCACACACATAATTCATATTAGTCAACAGTTGCAAAGGTAGGGAAGCCCCAGAGGTTGAAGTCACAGTTAGAGGCAGTGAACTGCATAACAAAATGGGTTTTGTTAGTGCCGGGCTCAAGTCATTCCACTGCAAATACAAACGGAAAGGAATTAATCACAGGTAAGGCACAAATGGACCCTTCAGCTAGCTCTGGGAAAGCTGCCAAGTCTTCCTTTCAAAAGACTCTTTATATCACAGCTGTGCATTGTATGTAAAAAGCTGAGATCCCCCGGCACGGTCTAATCCCTGGGTGAGAGCCCATAACAGGGCAGGTGTCACATCCATGGCAGTTATTTATTGTCAATGAAGAAACGGCTCCTGCCTCTGGCAGGAAAACATTTTAGGAGGCAGACGGAGAGTAGAAAAAAAATAAATCAAACCTGTGTTAGTATGAAACTAATTTGTGTTATGAAAACACAATACAGGGTTAATAGTTGGTTATTAAAATGCCACTTGGTACCTGGCGTTCACATCTCACACGGAGAATGCATGATGTACAGGTGTGGATAACTTGCGTCCTGGTTATTCT